AAAAATACTGGAAGGGTAGATGTATTTATATTTAATTTAATGTTTACTTATTGAAAAAACATGAAAATTATACATGTATTTTTTTAAAATATAAACAATAATATATTAAAATTTTAAATAAAGTTATTATATACATTTTTATATAATAATAAATTTAAGATGTGCAATACTTTGGTCCATGTAGTGTATATAGATTAATGATAATCTATTGTGACTTGTTCTAGGTAAACTTGCTTAAAACTCTTCAAGTGTGAGAACATGTTTGTCTAGAAACTAAATAGTTGATAACAGTCATTGATAGTGAAGTTGATATAGTTAATTAATTTTGTTAATAATAGACTATACTGCTATGTTAACTTATATACTAATATCAAATTTTCAAGGATTATTTAATTATCCAGATACTTTAATACATTCACTTGAATCTCAGAAGGGATTTCTATTCTCTTTGTTACTATTTGCAGCATTACAGACAAGCTCTGTTTGACAAGTCCTTTATTTAAGCAAGTATCAAATTGGAATATTTCAAGTTAGAATGATTATATTTCAAAGTCTACTGATATAAAAATGTTTAGACAATTATTATAGTCCTAGAAATGGGGTTTCAGAGTCTGTTGATACAGATTGGGATTGATGATATATTTGGATAATTACACAGTTCTAAAAGTGAGATCCTGAAATTAGTTTCCTATTCAGTTCAGGGGTTAGGTCAGGTATAATTTGTATAACCAGACTAGAGAACTTTCTTTATGCAATTCTCGTGATAGATCCTTTTCAGTCTGGTGATCAATAAATAGACTAGAAGTCTCATTCTTATATGATTTGATTATATTTTTTATATACTCCTTATGTGTATTGAACTTTGAATCTTGTGATTGTAACTTGGGAGTACTACCACTGTGTTATAGACCCACAGATAGTTTAATGAAATTTCATATTTATTTAGAAATATAAAAATAATTTAATATTTGACAATTGTTTAATAATAAAACAAGTAAAATAAAAATAATTATCTAAAATATTTATAAAATAATAAATTATTTTTATAATTTAATTTAAAACAAATTAGTTGATAAAGAATTTAATTAATTTAAATTAAATATATTATGTTAGTCTATATTTCATATTAAATAATTAAAGGATATAATAAATATATATTATTGATCTGATTCAATAAATTATTATAAAAAATATTATATGTATAGTATATAGTAATAATCTGTAAATAATAATATTAGTAGTTGAAAAAATATTTAATTGAATTAATATATATAAATATATAGTTTATATTATTTATAAAAGATTTAATAAAGCAATTTAATAAAGAATTAAAAAAAAAAAAAATTAAATATGCATAAATTATTTCAAATTTGATTTAGAGTACCTAATTGAGACTGTGTTTTATTTAATTCAAACTAGCATAATAAACTTCTCATATTTATAAATTAGTGAAATCTTTTGATTAATAATATACAATAATGAGTTAATTATTATGTGATATCTAAAAAAAAAAAAAAGATTTATTAAAATAATATGACTGTGGATTAAAAAAAATGTGAAATTTTTGAATGCATAAATATAGATTTAAAATTGTTAAAGTTGACATTTATAATAAAAAATATAGTAAGTGATTTCAAACTTTTGTGAACCATTGTATGGATATAAAATTAACTAAAGGGATTGATTTTGTTATACTAAAAAAGGTTTGATAATAGTATTCTTTTTTTTTATTTATAATAAAAGCATTGGCTTTTTATTTTATTTTATTTTATATTATTTAAAAAAAAACCAATATTATCCGTTAGAATTGACTTTTCCTTTTAAAAAATCGAAATTTATTTCCAAACAAAAGAAATCATTATTCTAATCCTAAAAACTTTTTAACCTCCCTCCTTTCATTCGCCTCTTCGATATCTTTGAACAACTGTGGGTAGGTAGCGAAAATTGAGTTAATAAAAATCTACAGTGGTTAAGCATGCGAAAGGCATCGTAAATCACGATTTTCGAATATTTACCCCTTTGTACTCTCCGTCAACAAAGATCTGTGGCAATTCCTTTTCTAGTCGGTTCTTTCTTTTCATATACTTTAATTGATCCTCGTCGACCGAGATGTCGACAAAGGTGAAATCAATCTTGTTTGATTTTAATATGGCCTCGAGCATTGCTTGATTTTTTTTGACCTTATGTAATTTAAATTGTAATAAAATTTTAAGGAACACAAACTTGAGGAGAAGTTACATTAGTAGATGAGATGAGTAATGATAAGACATTTCATACGAAAATATTTCCCGCAACACCCGAGCCGTAAATTTTTACTCTGACGTCCGAGGTTTCTGCCATTATGAAATATTTGATAAAGAATATTTTGGGAACAAACTTTTAAGTGCGTATTTATACGTATTTGTGCCTGTAATGTCATGTATGTGCGCACGTACAACTAGTTAGTGAAACAAAGTTTCACCTTAGGAAAACACTTTATTCCAATTGCAGTTCTTGCAGTGTACAATGTTAGTGATCGATTATCCGAGTACTGCATTGTCAATCATTTTTCGAAGAGCATATCACATTCCAAGTAGTAAATTTACGATTATTATGATTCCATCGATTGAATATATCAAACGTGAAGAGAGAATGACATCATGTAGGTAAAATCTTGTGGGTGGTCATTGATGTTTGGTTTGCAAAGATGATTGTGAAGCAAAGCGAATGAAACGTAATATGCTGGTACGTGCATAAAGTGTTAGGAGACATGTGATAGTTAGTGTTCGTTCATCTTACACCGCATTTCACCTGAAATAATTCCCTAGAGTTACAATAAACAGTGGGGAAACGATTGTTGAGGATTAGAAGCGTAGACAACATCAGTCAACATCGCAATAATTGTCGTAAGGCGGCTGTCAGATAATATTGGATTTTATTAAAAATTTTAATTTCACAAAAAATTAGTTTAAACTGTACAGTAAAAAAGAGAATGTTATGGTGATTACAAACTACTGTATTGCCAAGTCTTTTACGCGTCACAAAAGAAACTCTCGGAAAAGGAGAAAAAAAAAAATAATAATAAAGCAAGAAAACTTCTTTAGTAAACAAAGCACATATATATGCTTGAAAATTGTTTTTTTTTTTTTTTTTTTCGTCAAATCTTGATGTTCACGTTAATAGCAACGAAAAAAAAATAAATACATATATATAAATTCATTCATGCTGCATAAAACAAAAAGATTCTATTCTTAAAGTAATCACAGGTTGGACCATTAAGTTCGGTATAAGATCAAGAATCTGATTAGTGTTGCCTGTGAAATGTAGAACGTAAAAACAGTAAATATTAAACCAAAATGATTATGATGAATTACGATTCACTTTTCTTACGGCTTCTTTGTCAACAATGATGATATCTTGAGGAGTGGTAGAAGGAGATACCACATCAACTGAAAACATGGCTTTAATCTGCACTGATCCACAATATCCAAGAGAAGTGGAGGAGTGTCTCGCGAACCACATTCCTGGAATTAATCGTACTCCCGGTGACAAAATTATCATTTATTAATCCGAAATTTAAGATTGACAAAAATACTCACGTCCACTATGTTTACTAACGCTGCAAAGATTGCCATTCTGACTTATTCCACAAAGTCCGCAGCCCGTGGCACAAAAGGTCAGTTCGGCATTATTGTCGTAATATTTCTCCGGGTTGCACGCCACTCTGGTTCCATGAAACATCTGATGAACAATCTGACGAGTTTGATTCTTGTAATTTTCATGTGCATCGACGAGCCTCCTCGGCATATTCATTCGAAGTATTGCTTGTATCTTTGCATTTGGGATTCCTGCGAGGAATCTTTGTTGCACCGCAATATAGTCCGGATCATTCTGATTCATTCTTACGATTCGTGTAGTAGAGTTATAAAATTCCTCATATACCCTCTTCAGTTCGGCGGCACCTGGTAACTCTTTATTGCACATTTCGCAAGTGATTACCGATGAATCATTCATAAACGTACAACCAGGGCATTGTATCATATTTGAAGCTTCCTCTGCGGTGAAAGGATCATCGATGATGGGTAGAAAGCACATTTCACATTGGGTCGCATAACCTTTGTTAAGAAACGAACACTTTGAACATTGAATTTTGAATTCATTCGACATTTCTTCAAATTGCTCGGCCGCGAGTTGTAATAGAAGTTCATCTTGGGTGCTAGTTTCCTCAAAGCCTTTATTCAATCTTTCGTCACATCTCTCACAATTCACCATCAGAGGATGGTTCATATATAGACAGTAATGACATGGAATCTGGTCGGTTTCATCTGGCGTTTGGAGCGGAGGGGTTGGCAATTGTTGCCTTCTTGATTTCGCAGTTGAAGACACAGGGCCGACATATAGATCGTCCTCATACTCGATACTTCTCTCATTTTCCTTCTTTACACTACTTGACCTCGTTGTTTTTGAAGAGCCCACGTACAGGTCGTCAGGGTAGTCGTCTTCGTAATCGACCACCTTCTTCCTTGTGCCACTTGACCTTAATGACTTTACAGTGTATGAGCCGTACGGGTTATCAGGGTAGTCATCTTCGTAATCCAACATCTTCCTCCTTGTGTCATTTAATTTCGGTGAGCTTACATATAAGTCGTCAAGGTATTCATCATCCTCGTAATCCAACATCTTCCTCCTTGTGTCATTTGATTTCGGTGAGCTTACATATAAGTCGTCAAGGTATTCATCATCCTCGTAATCGACTCTTTCCCTCCTTGTGTTATTCGATATCGACGAGCTTACATATAGGTCGTCAGGGTACTCGTCCTCGTAATCGACTCTTTCCCTCCTTGTGTTATTTAATTTCGGCGAGCCCACGTAGAGATCGTCAGGGTACTCGTCCTCGTAATCGACTCTTTCCCTCCTTGTGTTATTTAATTTCGGCGAGCCCACGTAGAGATCGTCAGGGTAGTCATCGTCATGATCGATTCGGTTCTTCCTCGTGTCATTTGACTTTGTTGATTTTACGTACAGGTCGTCGGGATAGTCATCGTCATACTCGAATTGGTTCTTCCTCGCGTCATTTGATTTCGTTGAATTTGGTGAGTTTAAGTACTGGTCGTCCGGATATTCCTTTTCACGACCATCTCTTTTGTTGTCTCCGTTCATAACCACCGTACCACACATATCACATACGTTTCTATTTGGCGAAATGTAATATGTGCAGACAGGGCACTCAATTTCTCCACCAGAAGTTTTGCCTGATGGACTTGTACGGCTTTTGTCATTCGTTTTCTGAGGTTTCCACCTCATATCAATGGTAGAATTGTACCATACGGGGTAATCCTCTGGTGATTCGGCCTGCCAAGGAGTAGCGTTCCATTGGAAAGAAGATTGCGCATACGAATCATTATTTTTAGAACTGGAGTTGTATGAATTCGCGGTCTTATCTCGGTTATTTCTCGAAGACCAGAAGTCATCTTCCCCAGAGTTATCATTTTCGAGAGGATGAGTGCCTGCCAACTGGCAACTATCGCTACAATAATTATATATGACTCCATTCTCATTGATTACATTATTACAACTTGGATTCTGACAATATAATTTATCCTTCTTGCCAATCTTTTTCAAAGATTTTATCAAACTTGGTAGGGATTTTTTGTTTGAACTTCGATTATAATCTTGATCCATGTCATTAATAAAAAATGTGAATCCAAAAAGGTTTTGATATAATGTAAGGCGTCAATTAAATAGGCATGTAAGGAAAGGCAATTTTAACGGAATTTAAAATGATGTTTCTCCGAAAATTTACAAGTTGCTTAAGTTTCCCAAATTGTAAGTCATGTGATCTGTGATACAATACTTAACAAACGGTCCGCAGCACGTGATTTTTATTGAAGATCAATTACTATCTTGAGTTAGCGCCGTTGATATTACACTCGCTCATTTTGATCGTGAGCCATAACCATCCAACGATTTTCTTTTTGACCTATCGGTCCTAATGGATGGTTTAAACTTGGAGATCACGGTATTATGGAATTCCGATGGTAGGACAATGTTTGAATTCGTTGACTGTTCAACGTCATTGCATTCTTCGAGAATCTCGTCTTCACGTGGAGTACCAATTGATTTGCTTTTTCTGTTCCACCCACCTTTGCGTAGCGGTACAATGGAACTCTTTCCAAATTTTCCGCTCTTTTCGCGGTTTGATTGTGGGACGAAAAACTTTTCGATTTTCCCTTCTGGATCGATATCTAATAGATTAATGCGGCTTCTTCTCAATTCGATGTTATGAACATTTTTGTTTGACAAGCTATTTGGATTTTTTCCATCGCCTCCACCAAATCTTCTAAAACTTTTTTTTGGAGGAGGTGGCGACGGCGAGGTTTCATCATCGTAATAACCCTCGCTGTCATCTTCTGATGTCGTGAGATCATTGAAATATCTAGGTTTTTGTTTTTTACGTGATGGGCTGCCATCATCACAATTATACTGCTCGCAAGTGGCGAGAATTTTATCAACTTTTCTTTTTCCTTTATTACTTGAAATATGACGATCAGAGGAGTCGGTGGAAACAATGAACTTCGCATTAACAGAATCCTCCTCATTGTCATTAGTGAGCACCTTTTCATTTCTTCTCCATCGTCCACTGTTCGACCTTTTTTGCGGAACGTCAGAATCCACATCATTATCGTCTTCGGATGGAATAACGTGCTTCAACCTATCATGCAATATTTCGTATGAAATTTCGTCGGATGTCGATGCATTACCCTTTACGCGTCTTGATCCTTTGTACGGAACTTCGTAATCTCCGTAATAGTCATCAGATGGCGTGGCTGTTTTGACGTACCCACTATTCTTCAAAAATTTGTTTCCGTAAGAAGGTTCCGGAATAGGAAAAAACCTTTTTACACCTCTTCCCCTTTTAAACCTTGACAGCTCTTCTTTGCGATATACTGCCACAGGGTTTCTTTGATAGCTCGATTTTCCACGAACATTTTTGTTGTGTTCATCTCCAGGTGTTGCAATGAACTTTGAACCATGTACATTCTTGTCATTCTTACGTTTTGATCCTTTGCGTATTTTTTTATTTTCATAATTTGAAGTCGTAGCATCTCCAACTCCTCTATCTTCGCGACAAACTCGATTATGATAACAGTAATAATTGTGCGTATCCTTCCCCTCGTCGTCCTCCTCTTCATTCGAAATCACCTTCGTAATTTTCCCAACACTTTTCCTTTCGTCATCCTCGACTCCTTTCTCTCCTTCAGACTCCTCTTCATCCTGGTCTTCATATTCCTCTTCATTTTCCAAAGTTTGAATTTTTTTCTTTTCGGCTTCTGCCAACTTAATTATATCTTTGATGTCATCTTCCTTTAGAAATTTTGCAACACGGGAACTGAACAGTTTCTCCACACCTTTGGCCCACAAGAATTTCAAGATTTCCGATCGCAACTTATGAAGTCCTAACCATTTGCTAACCTTCAGTGTGATTCTCCACATCCTTCTGTCCCACTTTGGGTGAATTTTCGATGAGTTGAGGGAAAAGTCATCAAGACATGCGTGAACGAATAAAACATGGACAGTACTTACCATTCGGATTAACAAATTCTCGCAATATTCCGTTAACTCAGGCACGCGAAACTTGAGGGCCAAGTATGCAAACACGAACAAATTGTCCATCCTTTTATATTGCAAAGGAAGCCCGTATCTAAGTGAAGTTCAATCAATTATTAGGAGGTTCAGGGATACGTTCAATGATTTTAGAATAGCATGGCGGAAAAGTAAATTTACAAGTATGCGATAAAACTTTCAAAATGTTGTGAGGAATAATAAAGCTCTAATTTCAGGTCTTCCTCCTTGGATTTTTTTTTCTTCAAATCATACCAATTTTTGATTGCGTTTGTCGTGGTGCACGAAAAATCATGAAAATAAAATCCATCCTTTCCTTTAGATAATTCGTTATGGTAAGCCGACGATGAAAGATCTTGGAGTCCTGTATTTGGTAAGAACAGAGAGAACGATGCATTCATGGTGCGTATCGGAGAGGATGATGTGTGACGAGAAAGAAAAAAAGATTTAAAGAAGCCGGAAGTAGCGCTCAGGATGCAGATGTGTCCATGATAAATTCTCCCGTCCACATATAACGTGGTGTCCGCCAATTTTGGATTGTTGAATAATGAACGAATCCTGGATTGCAGATCCATCTCTTGTAATATTTCAAGCTTCCTTACATGGGTTCTTTTTGAGAGCGTGCTACCAAGAGAAAGGGACGAATGCAATTTTCAAAAAAATTTGATTTATTATTATTATTATTATTTTTTTTTTTATTTGGGAGAATGACCAGGAAAATCTTTTACATAACATTGGAATCATCGGAAGGTGGTTCAGATGGTGAAAACATAACGTAAACATTATACATTGCTTACGCATTCTGATGTAAAGGAACGTAATACCTATTTGTAATCCACACTTGATAGACCCACGTAAAATCATCTAACACGTATTTCTTTCTTAAACGGGTCGATCAAATATTTCGATTGAGGCCACTCCATAGAAACGCAACCATCTTTCTTCGTCTCTCGTGTATTATAATCGAGTTTTTGAATATACGCGACATATATGGTACATAATATTATGTGTATCTTTTAATTTAATAATCGTTCTTATTTTTTTTGTGTGTGTATGATTTGCTCGAAAAGAAAGCATCTACTTTAGAAACTTTATAAACTGTGCCTTTAAAGTGAAATATCTCAAATAATTTAGATTAAAGTTATTGTTGTGTTCAATGTATTAATTGTGCAGAAATTTAATTAAACATCAAATTTAAACATGATAAATGCTATCAATATTTTATTAAAATGACATCGAATAGTTTCCTTTATATACTATATATATATATATACTGTATATACAGTATATTCACATAATTTTCATAATTTTATTTGTACATTTTAATTTCATTAAAAGAGGGTAATTTAAAAATTGATAAGTAATAGATTTGTTAAATGAGTTATAGACAGTACATCATGAGGTATAATAAACAAAAAATTTTACTTTGAATTTCTTGTTTGAGAAATAATAGGTTTGATACATACAGTACAGTACACTATTTAATCAATTTCTTTTACTATTTATAAAAGGGTACAAATATAAAGTCCGTCAAAGTTTCATAATTTATAATGACGTGAGATTATCTTTCAAACTCGATCTACGTAGTTTAATACGTATCTTAAAAACTTGGTTTTTTATATACTGTAACAACAACCAAACTTAAATAAATTTTACAACAAAATTTCTAGCTACCTCTACAAGTTTTCCTCATTATTTTTATTATTTAACCTCTAGATGCGGAATTTTACTATCTACATAGTGAATTGGCTCGTTGCTATAGATTGTTCCCGAATAGTGACGCGTATCTCTTTTGTTTTCTGCATCTTCTGTACTTTCCAAATTCTTAATTTCATCGGATTTTAGCAAAATGTTTAAAATACAATCTTCATTTTGCCATTCAATAAGGATTCCTTCGCAAGTGTACGATTTTCAGGGCTTTTATCCCAGCATTTTTTATAAGATCTATATAACACTGTGACATACCTTCTACTATCGGGAGCCGTAGGCCATCACACACATGAATTTGAAAGTTTAACTTGGATGAATGAGATTCATTGTCAAAAGGTACGGCCTTTCCTGAAGAAACTTCCCTCATGATTACACCAAAAGAGTATATGTAGTACCTTATATGGACTACCGCATAAAACTTCCGGAGCTATACGTATACGATAAAATTCCATGGACTCCGCCGTACTCTCCGCTCACTTTGCCGGAAAGACCCAAATATGAAATGTATGCTCTATTTGGACTATCTTGTAAATTACCACTATGTGAATGAGGTTTTGTGAATGAATTATTTGAAGATCAAAAGAAATATGTACAAGGTAATAAATTTTTACTTTCTCTTTCTATTCCATTTTGTGCCACAGAATAAAGATTTTTTTGCAAAGATCCTTTAAGTGCATGGCCCATGCTGTAACGAGAATATTATCGCCCGAAGAAGTGCTGTCCCTCGACGTCCCTTAACGTTGGGATTTTCATAGCCAATATCACAATATGCCTTCAACTTTAATATAAAAGATGTGAAAAAAATGAAAACATATACAGTAAATTAATAAAATATCAAAGTTATGAATTCTTTGTGTCAATCTCTTAATCCGTGAAGCAACTTAAGCGTGACAATGGTTCCTTGCCTCTTTTTAGCACGAAATACAGTTAAAAATCTCCCTTTGCAACATCTTTAAATTCATCATATGGAATCTAATAAAATGTTTCATCAAGTACTTTTTTTAATTCTTCTTCGACATCGTAATTTTCCCGAGCATGATTATTCGAAGCTGCAGAGGTTTAACCGTTATGTTTTTTTAACTATTCAAGAAACAAATATGCATTAATAATCACCTAGTGATAAACTCTCATTCTAATTAATAAAAAATCTATTATATTATCACGAAAACTTGTTCACTTACACTTTAAACCAATGTGTAGCCATATGTGGGTCTCTTTCTACTCCAATTCCGTTTCGGTTAAAAAGATGCAAGGAACCATTGTCACGCTTAAGTTGCTTCACGGATTAAGAGATTGACACAAAGAATTCAT